AAGCATACGACGAGCAGACAAACGGAGACGAGTTACGCACCAACCTTGACCTACTGGATGAGGTACGAGACCTCGCGCACATCCGAACTGCGGCCTACCAGCAAAAGGTAGCTCGGTACTATAACGCCAGAGTAAAGAAGAGGAGCTTCCGCGTCGACGACCTGGTTCTCCGTAAGATCACGGTACCCAAACCCAGCGTGGGGAAACTCGGACGCGACCTCAAGAGACACAGAAGTGACAGTGACTGGGGTCCCCCCCCCCCCGCTATTTATACTCACAGTGATCGAAAAGCGACGGCTTAGATCAAAGCCAATCCGACGGCCCACAGCCGCACCGATCGCGCGTCCCTTGAGACCGAGACGTGATTGGCGCACGTCTTTTCAAAACTGATGGAATGCCAGTGCACGCCTCCTCAATAAAAGTGGCAGCGACACACGTTTTTTCAAATTTGAAAAGACGCCTGCTATCGCACCTCCCAAGTGGCGCGCTTTTTTGAAAATTTGAAATAAAGTGCGCACCGTCACATCTATCGGCGCCTAGGCAGGCCGGCACGCTTCCCGCCTTTTGGACGCTCGAAGAAACCCAAGGAACCCTGACAACGCACCTCGCACCATCAGAACCAAGATCCAAAGGTCAGGGTAAATCTACTTGACACCTTGCGAACTCCCCGCGCCAGGGCAAGACGCTTAGCGCGAGGAGTGGGGGGCAATTGATGAAGGAAGATTTGGCCCGACCTCGCAATCACGCCACGTGGCAAAAACAAGTAGCTCGGCACTTAAAGCAACGTACCTAGGGTGCAAACACCAAAGGGAAGAAACCAGCAGTCCGAACTCCCCTCGAGGAGACCGAACTCCCTTCTAAGAGCTCGAACTCCCTACAAGGAGCCCGAACTCTCCCTTTAACCCCGAGCCAGACAAAGCTGTGACCCGAACTGGCCCGCCTCATGGCAGTTCGGGACACTCCCCTATCCGAACTCAAGACTTCGCCTCGCACACTGCTCCAAGCACTTCGCCTCTAGAGCATCGAACTGGACAAACCACACCGTACCTGACACCGATGGAGTCCGTATCCCGGGGCGGCGCACCTGACTGACTTGGGATCTGACGCTTGACAGCCGCACTTCAACGGCCACCTGCCACCGCCATCTCCAGTTACAGAGACGGCTCCGACAAAAAGAGCAGTGGTAGTTCTGCCCCAGCAGAGGTGATGACACCCGAACTGGCAGAAGCACAGAAGTAAACATACCCGACCTGACAGAAGCCTAAGAGTGAGTGCGCGAGGTGGTTATAAAAGGCTCTCTACCCCCCAGAACATGGTATGCAAACTTTGCGCTATCTGGTTTTATCTCGCCTTTGAAGGATTCTAACTTGAGCTTCGGAGCCTTTACACCGGGTTCCCCCCAGAGCTTCCTCATCTTCTCCATTTCTGGTTCCTTGCTGTTCAGTTCAGAGGCAAGGTCGTTGACAGCTAAGACCGGCCGGATTGGACACCATCAGGTTCAAATGCAAATATTGATGGATTTAATTTGGATCGATTACCTGTAGAAAGTCTCCAATGTTAATGACCAGAGCTCCGGGCAGGGGCTTCACTTCCACCCATTTCTCTCCATGCTTCACTTGCAGCCCTCCGATCTCATTTTGCAACAACACCGTTAGTACTCCTGGATCAGTGTGAGGTGGGAATCCCATTGTCAGATCTGCCTGCGGGCAATAGGGGTAGTAGTGACCCACCATTGCCCTTGATTCTAAACACTTGAGCTCCTTCAATTTACTTGGTGTGACGCCCAATCCTTCACACAACAATTCCATCACTGTCTCAGCCAGTCTCTTCACGTTCTCATCCCATGCCATCACTTCTTTCCGGCATATGGCCGGAATTTGGTCGAGTTCAGGTGGGTTTGGTCCAGTCCACACCTGGAGTGTATGTCCCCAGTTGGCTGCCTTGGACCGGAAGAGATCAAGATTGGTGGCATACCCAACGCTGCCTCTTTCTTGTCGACCGTAGTACTGCTTCTTCATCTCCACCGGCTGCTCGTGGAAGGATTTGATGGCGCTGGTCGTCTCACCGAGGATCTTCTGTGAAACACCATGGTTGACGACTTGGAAGAAACCGCATATACCGGCTGCTGCTCGGATTTCATTGACTATTTCTGCTCGACGACTGGAATTAATGCCGGCCAGACTGATAACTGGGATGTCTACAGAAAGGAAAGAAGAAGGAGACAAGGTGGAGAGCCTATCAGGTGGGTGCACAAAGAACCTGGGGATGGTGGAGAGGCCAGAATCGACAAGGCCTTTGACGCCAATCCTTGAATCGTCGAATTCTTTCACCTCCTTCATCCGATCATACTCCAGAGTTGCACCTGCAGCTGCCATCTTCTCTTCTTGCACCAAATGCTTCTGTGTTGTATGTTCAGTACAAGGGCAACATTAATTTAAGCAGCCTCCGATGTTGACCAGATAGTCAGAGTTGCGTAATCAGATTGAATGCCAAACTTAAAAAAGTAAATAAATAAATTGTTTAAGCCTCCCTTTGTGTACGTTTTTCCACAAATGCTTTAGCCTTGCATTCTGTAATTGATATGGCCACGTGGCCCTCGTCAAGTGACCAATACTGAAAATGACCTTACCATTCCTGACGCCGTAGCAAGTACGGGGCTAGTATTTTTTTATAACTTTTATTTTGTTTAAACAAAAAGTGTCTAATTTATTATTATTACTTCTTTATTTTTTAAAGATTATTTGTATTGTAATATTTAGTTAATTAATTATTATTGTTATTATTAAGTATTTAATTAATAATTTTATTATCACAATAATTATTATAATTAAATTTTTTTACTATAAAAATTTAAAGATTAATCAAAATGTAATATTTACTTAATTATTTAATTAAAGATTAATGTTGTTTTTAATTAGTAATGGCAATGATTATTTTCTTATATTTGTATTAATATTCAGTATTTAATTACTGAGTATTGTTGTTATAATAAATTTTCTAATTACACTAAATTCTGGTAATTTACATAACTTTAATGCACAATCAGTTTTTTAAGTTCAGTGTATTGGCCAACCATGCCCGAGAGCCACGAATCTCTATCGCTATTTTTATCAGTGTGCATAACACAGAAGACTCTGACAGTTATGGACCATTGGAAGAGCTGCTGTCACCAGAAAAACCGGCCAGCTACAGAAAATTTACAATCGAAGAATTCAGAAACAAGTTCTTTACCAAAGAGATTGCTGATAAGCCTCTGATAGATTTCTTTAAACTGTGAGGGGTGGAAGTGGGAAAAAAAACTGCTACCACAATTGACAGAATTTCATACCATAATATCTATCATACTATCTATATGAAATAATCAAATTATTGGTTTTCATGTTTGTCTTGTGTGATGGAACAACCTCTTTAATGTCCAAATTACTAGACTCGTATATATAAGGGTGTCAATGGATCGATTTTGGTTGGACCCCATCCAAATTAAAATTAATTTGGACGGATTGGACGGACCAATATGACATTGGATTGGATCTGATCCGTCCATAATGAATTTATATTGGATTAAACCAATATCTGGTCCATTGATAGAAGATAAGAACATAGGTGTCAAGAGTACCAGGAATTCGAGCAGATTGGACAGTCTCTGGACCGGTCCAAAATGGTCCAAAATATTCATCGGACTGGATTGGACCAGGTTCATTTGTAATGGATTCACATTGGACCAAATCCAGTTCAATTGACACCCCTACATATATACAAAGACCTTCTATGCATCAATGTATTATTTGATTTGATGTGTTAGTAGTATATCTGTATATGTGCTCCTTAAATAACTAGTTAAGCTATTGAAAGATAAATTGAGTTCTATTTTCCCTGGGCAACTGGTAGGGGTGGCCATGAGTCGATCTCTTTAGGAGTTATTTCAGTTCAGTTCAGCTCGGCTTCAACCGAGCTTCGATCCCAATTTGTAGGTTCATTTATTAGTCGAGTCGAGGTCGAGCCAAATAAAGCTCAACTCGTGAGGCTCACGAGCCGGCTCAAATAACTATTCAAATTCAACTCGGCTCAAATCCACCCCTAGCAACTGGTGATTCAACCTCTATATCTTATTTTTCTACCACAAACCCAAGTTCTTACATATTACTTAACCCTTAGAAATTTGTAGATCCCTTTTGATCTATACTTAACCAACGACTTATGAAGTGGCTCAGGTCTTGGCCTCAAATCCTTCCTCAATCCAGTCCATGGACCAATGCATTGTTCTGGGCTAAAGATCCACCATCCAAGCCCAACAACCCATGCCTAATGTCTAAAATGGGATGATCATCCCCCTCACCCAATCTTGAATTCGGGCTCATCACTTGAGTTTCCGACAAACCGGCTGCCTCAACACAAAACATTCCAAATCAGGTAGGCACAGAATTGTAAGCACATTCAATGAGCACTTAGAAAATTTTTAGATACTTTTTCTTTTTTTTTTTGAATTTTTGGACACTTGTTCCTTAAAATACTTTTGATAGTGGTTTGAGTATTTATTAAGTACTCATTGAATGTGCTTATAGTGCTGTGCCTACTAGATCCGGACTCAATACAAAATGGTTCCTCTCCAACATCAAAATTAAATTTTGAATTTGGGAAAGAGTTGTATGGTGGCTCTTTGAGGTAGTGAGGTGACGGGATCTGCTCCTCACAAATGAGCGCCTCACAAGCACATTCACCGTGCATTGAGAATATCTCCCGTGAATAATAACAGATAAATACGAGAGATATTCCCAATGTATGATAGGATGTATGTGTGAGGCACTAGGTGTGAGGAGCAGATCCGGTCTCGGTAGTGAAGTGTACTCCTTGATTCGAGTCTATTACTGTCCCCGATTGTACAAACAATTAAAACTTTATGAAGAATCATCTGAAAATATGCCTTTTGTTTATGGATAAACGCAAATACAATATGGCCGGATGCTAAAGATTATAGTTTCATAAAATGGTATTTACCAAACAAGAAAAAAATTTCTGGTGGAGTGGGGATAATATATCACGTCCACTGTTTTGTTGCACTTTTAGAATGTCCAAAATTGTATAGTATATTATGGTCACAAAGACCATGGTCTCACTTGACCACTAAGTTATTTAAATTATTTGATTATTTGTTTTTATTGTAATATTTGAATGTGTATAATACGTAATATAAAAGGTAATATTTACAAATTTTAAATTTAAATTATTTGTTTTGAACCATATAATGATAATCTATATGTTAAGTTACTTAATTTAACCAATAAAAATCTATATGTTAAGTTACTTAATTTAATCAATAAAAATAATATAAGTTTTAAACTATATATTATCTTTATTGAAAATCAAGTTTTTAAATAACATTTTTTTATGAAAGGGGAGTAGAGAAATAACAAGTTCCACAAATAGACCCTGGAACTGACCCCGAAATAACCGACCCCTATAGGGTAGGTTCTAGGTTATGTCGTGAAACCAAACCGAACCGACCCATACTCACCCCTATCTCTATTGTTTATATCACTTGTAATTAAGCATTTTAACTTGAGATGTCATTAAATGCTAATTTAAGTCACTTTTAATCACGGAATTTTGAGACACCATTAAAAGCTAATTTAATTACTTTTAATTAAAGCAATATAATTCAATCCACAGTTGAAAATATCTTGTTAAAAATCATAAAGTTTAAACCCTAGTCGTCCATTCACAAGTCACAACAACCATTAGTCCACCACTTTCTTATCTTGTTGTCAATAAAAGCTAAAATTTGATTATTAAAATTTATATACTAACAATGTTAACACAAATTACATTTATTACTAAAATTTAAGATAATATATATACATATTATAAATATTATCTAAATTTATATATAATAAATATTAGTGTATGTACACACACATTTTAGTTCCTCCATTATTTTTCAAAGATGACTAATTGTGTCTTGATGCATTATATAAATCATTAAAGTATGATTTTTATGTTTAAATAAATTAGTTATAATCATATAAAACTCAATTTTATTGTTGTTAATATATTTTTAAGGGTTTTTTTTTTGAATTTCCTAGTGCACTTGTGTATATTGATTTTCCGTCTATATCAACACTTATTCAAAGTGTATCATGATATATATTTTAAAATTATCTTTTCAATACACCTTGTGTTTTCAATGTTGTTCTGAGGGGATTTTTGGCATTGTTGCCAATTTCCTAAAAAACACTGCCATGTTGGTGCTAGTGGGATTGGCATTGAAATTTATGTTTGACTGGCTGATTTTTGTGAATTTCAAGAAATCACCCAAAAATCGATTCTTGAAACGAGCCCCTTTTTCAGGGATAACCATTTTCAATGATTTCTTGATTTCCAATTGATTTTGTTTTTTTTAGAATGACATGGCATATGATGTGGCGTTGAATAGTAACACCAATGTAAAAATAAATGACCCTTGAGAATTAATACTAAACGGATTCAACGTTGATTTCTCAAAAAATCGGCTTACATGGCATAAATGATAGCAAATAACAAAACGTATGGATTTTTGAAAAATGATTGATTTAAAAAATCACCAATTTTTGAAAAATCGATAAGAAAGAAACAAAACGGATGCCAAACATCACCGGAATTGCTTTAAGTGTTGCTACTGTTGAAAGGAAATCTTTTTTAATCCCATATCTTGGGGTGCAAGTTGAGAGGGTTGGGCTTGATCTATGGTTAACCCAGGCCCAACCCTAAAATTTGTGCTTAAGGCTTGAGCTTGAACCAAACCCAAGGTCAATCATGATCTTTTCAATCTGAGCCCAGCCCCATCGTAATTTGATATATTCGGATTTAGCTCGAGCCTAATCGGGCTTAAGTTGGTCAATGAATCTACTCTAAAATTATATATTATGCATATATATATATAAATATATACAAACAAAAAATTATAATATATATGTATGTATGAATATGTATAATTAGCCTGTACTTAGATTGAGCTCAGACTCTTTCTAATATTTCAGCCCGAAAAATAAAAGTAACTAGAATTCTTGGGCGGTTGGACCTGAGCCCAAACGGAAGACGAAAATTCAACCCATAAAATTTTGGGCTGAATCGGTTCGGGCTCAGGCTGGACCCGCCGAAGTTGCACCCCTACCCATATCGACGAGCTTGGTCAAATAAGTGTGTTCCTGTGCGCCGCGGATGATAGGACGTGGGTGTCATCTCATCGTTTGATAAATCATCCTCGTAAAATATTTTCACACTCAATGAAAAGATCGTTGTTGCCGCACATTGAGAATACCTCCTGTACTTATTTGTTTTATGGGCCTTGAGGTGCGCGTAAGACAGTCGTAAACTCGTAAGATTATGTTTGGTTTGAAGAAAAATATAGGGAAAGGTGAGAAAATTTTTACAAATTTTGTATGAATTTTCCTACCTTTTTCTTTCTTTCCCTGCTTTTTTCTTCAAACCAAACATACCTAGTCGTAACCCGGTAACCGTCTAAGGGGGAAATCTGGATTCTGATGCAGAAACTATCGAGTCCCACCTAAAGTCAATCGAATGATTAGGAACTCTTGACTCATGTGGGGCCGCCCTTCCGCGCGAAGAATTGTTAGGCATATAAATGAACGGCAGACATTGCGAGCAATTTCCGAATGCGAACATCGTGCGCGGTCTCCGTCTTTCTACCTAGCCGGCGAACGTTGCTCTGCAGAGGCCGGAATCTGGAATTCCTCGCTGGTAATTTGTATATTGCTTGAAATTCTCGATGTTCCACCATTATTTTGCTTCTTTTAGTAGCTTTTCATCCGTACTTCTGGTGTTTGAACTCCAAAAACTGAAATTTGATTAGGTTTTTGCCTGCCTTTAGAATTATAAATTCACCATCGTATAAACCAGAACAGAGGAGGTAATTCGCCGATCCGCTATTGTCATCCTCCTGAAGCAGACACACATTACCGTCATTCGCAGCTATCGTCACCGCCACCCATTGCTAGCATTCTCATCTTTGGCATCCAGATTAGTTCCCGAACTCCCCCTTCTTAGACGTGGCTCATTCATCACGGGTTTTCCAACTCCAGTTCATCGAATTCACTTCAAAAGGTGCATCCTTTTCTACCACAGCGGCAAATCAAAAAAGTTGAAGGCAAAATTAGGCATTAGTCTCGCCACAATTGCCTTTCACGCCTGTCCAATTTTCTTTCTAGTTTTTATTTTTTATTTATTTTTAAACTTTTACTTATGATTCCGACTTGTCTCACTTTGTTTGTTGATCTGTGATGATGTGTAATGGCTTAGTGTTGTAATGGATCGATGCTAGGATTGTTTCATGACTTGATTTTTTTGACCCTATTCAATGCTTCCCTTTAACGTTTTGTATAGCTATCCCGTAATAGTTCTTTCTAGAAAACCACCATGCAAAGGTTGAATTTAATCAGCATTGCTTATGGCGTTTTCTGGGTTTTAATCGGGTATGCTCATTCCGTGATCTTTGTCTTTTTTCCCTTTTCATATAATATAAATCAGATTAGCTAGGATCAATTAGTTTATTTGAGTGCCTATTTTCGGATTATCTAGGATCAATTAGTTTATTTGGATGCCTATTTTGTCTAGTTTCATTTTTTTTTGAAACAGGTAATATGAAAAATTCATTAAGACAAAAAGCATGTACAACAAGTAGCTGTACACGGGGATTTAGAAAAACTGCAACCAGCAGAACTATACCCCCAAACCCTGATTTACAAAAGGATTCCCAATAGCAAAAAAGGAACTAAAACTTCTGTCCTTAAATACATTGTTTACTGCTAACCAAGATAACATTTTTCCCACAACTTTCTAAAACACTGTCTGAAGAGCTATGGTAGTTCTTGAAGATCCTTGCATTCCTCCCCTGCCAGATGCACCAGAAAACTGCAACAGGAGTTATGGGAAAATGATTTGTGAAATAATAATCAAAATGACTAGTTCTCTCTGGCTAGAAACGTATACTAGTGACTAGTTAATGATTCTCATTTTTTTTTCCCTTTCTTTCTTCTTATTATTAAATACTGTAACTTAGGATCTTTTTAGTATTGAATAGTTCTCACCATCATCATTTGTGCCTTATCCCAGCTATATGAGGTCAGCTCCATGAATCTTGTTTTGCCTATCCGCTCGATTTAAAGCCACATCCACTGTTAAATTATTAGTGCTCAAATCATTTCTTACTACTACTCATGTCCTTTTTGGTCTACCCTGAGCTCTTCTAGCCCCTTCAATGTGTAACAAATCACTTCTAGGTTCTAGTCTACTCTTTCTCTCTCTCTCATTTTATCACCTATTGGAGCTACTCCTAGGTTTGTACAGATAACTTCATTCCAAATCATATCCTTTCTAGTTTCACTCATCCATCTTGGCATATATGTCTTTGCTACATTCAGTTTTTGGACATGTTGTTTCTTGACTGCCCAACACTTTGCTTCATACAACATAGCTGGCCTTACAACTGTTTTATAGAATTTTCCTTTTAATCTATGTGGTATTCTCCTATTACATAGAAGTCTAGATGCACCTCTTCATTTTACCCATCCTACTCTAATTCTTTGGGTGATATCCTCCACATCCCTCCCTTGTTATGAATTATTGAACCAAGGTATTGGAAATGGTCACATCCAGTGTAAATCTCTTGATTTACACTTCTATTATTACTAAATTTACATGTCATATACTCTGCTTTAGTCCTACTATTTTTAAAACCTCTTGTTTCTAAGGCATTTGTCCATAAACTTAATTTCACATTTAACCCTTCATTAGTTTCATCAGTTAAAGCAATGCCATCCATAAACAACATGCACCATGGAACTTCCTCCCGAATATGTTTAGCTAATTCATCTGTGACCAATGCAAATAGATAAGGGCTAAGCGACGAACCTTGGTGAAGACCCATAATAACTATAAAATCTGATGTCTCTCCCATTGGTGTTTTAACATTGGTTGTTGCCCCCTCATACATATCCTTAATTAGGTCTATATACCTATTTTGTACCTTTTTTTTCCAAGACCCAGCATATTATTTCTCTAAAAACTTTATCATATGCCTTTTCTAGATGAATGAATGCCATATGAAGATCTTTTTTCTTCTCTTTGAACTTTTCTACAATCGTCTCAAAAGAGATATAACTTCTATAGTTGATCTCCTTGGCATACAGCCAAATTGGTTCTCTGGTACACTTGTTTCAAAGCTATATTCTTCTAAGGTTCCCTCTAATTCCTACGATTTTTTCCAATATATCTTCCTTCCAGAGGTTGAACGGCAGACCATGGTTCAAAGTATCGATACGCCTCTGCGTATCGGCAGAGGCGTATCGGTACTTTAAACAGCACGGAAATATGATTTTTTTTATTTTTTTTTTCAAAATTTGGTTTTTGGGGAGTTTTTAACCTATATTTTTCATTAAAAAAAGTAGGGTTCCGATACACCTGTTTTGCAGGTGTATCGGGACCCAAAAGATACGATATGATACGCCCGATACGGGGCGTATTGTATCGATTTTTTGAACCTTGCGGCAGACCCATCACCTTCACCACTATTCTCAAGTCATCTATTTCTAATTTGTTGCGCATCATCTTCCACGTCTTGTACAATACCTGGCCTACTACTATTTTCACCATTAATACTTCTACCTCCTCATTCCTGATTTCTACAGCTCTAAGTCATGCTGCTGTGTTTTTAATCTGAATCTCTTTTATCACTGAGTTTAATATTGCTTGCCAGTTGTTCACCTTCCTTTTTGCTGTAATTACATACCTTTTATCCCAATTTCCTTTCTCCACCTCCATTGACACTTTGATTGTTGTCTGTAAGCTAGTAATTAGCATAATCTTCTTTTTTCTTTTTTTTTGTCTCCATTACTGTAGCTAGACTCACCTATAGTGGGGGCTTGGTTCTCGTCTTTGCCCTGAGACCCATCTCCTTTTATTGAGACTTCCTTTTGTTCCTCCTCCATATAACCTTCTTCGATATGAATCAGGTAAGTTTGCAAAGTCTCTGTGACCATCTTCTGTCCATAACACTCCTTCCCTTCCAACAAACATATTATTTGTTTTTTTTTTCCTTCTTTGAACTCCTCTATGATTGTTATAATTTACAAACCAGCCCTTCTTGTTCCATCGTAGCATCACTTCGTACCTACAATTTGATGAAGAGATTGAGCTCTTCCACCCGTGCTTCCTCACAGAGAAAGTTGCTCCATCCACGAAACTTTGCAGCCACTGTATAGCTTCTCCAACCAAGAAAACTGTAGCCTTTCTTTCCTCCTTGATTTTCAATGACCTTTGACCCTAGCTTTTGTGTTCTTCCAAGATAATTTTTTAGCTTCAACCTGTAACTCTCTTCTCCACTTAGTTGCATTCACAAACCCTCCTCTCTTCTCCATCACAAAGTGACTTCCTTCATCTTCGGATATATAAATTATTTATTCGTAATAACACAAATATTAAATGATTGATATGATTATGAATATATGGCTTAATTCTTATTATTGATTAAAATTTATAATAAATCAGAATTGAACTTTATAACATTCTAGAAAGGTGTATTAGTGCTTCTTTTATCATTAATATCATTGCATATTTCCACATATTTCACAATATTTCCACAATGTCTATACTTTTTACAATATTTCCATCCAACATTTCTAACATGTCCTACATTTGGGTAACCGACATTTCGATTGACAATAACATTTTAAACCTTGCATACTAGCAACAAACTTGCTTATTTTGTGTTGAAATAAGAAGAAAAATAAAAGGGGAATAATTTCTGAACAAGAAGAGAAGAAAAGAAAATGAAGAAAAAAGAGATGAATTGGCAGGTCAGATCATGTGTAGCATTGTTCTTTCCCACTATGTGATATATTAACTTCAAGTAATGTATGGTAAATAACAAATACACCCTTAATAGGTAAGGGTGGCCATAGGTACATATACACATATCTATGTATAAATGTATGATATAAAATAACACACAAACACACACATAAACAGACACATGCACACACACATATGCATACATGTAGTGTGTAAATAATTCTGGGCTGGGTCTTAAGTATTGGGCCCCAGGCCTAGTGTGGATATTTCTTGGCCTGATGTGGGCTTGAGTCCAGGCTGGGATTGGACAAAAGAACTAGGTCCAAGCCTGGAAATTTTCAGGCTATACTAGGCCTGGTGACAGATGATCACCCATAGGGGAAGGGCTTGCTAGAAAGAATCACAAATGGACAATCCAAAGAGTTTGCAGTCCAAAAACTATGGTTAGGCTTATTTGGCTCAATAACAACCCCTTTAACAGAGTCTAGCAAATTTAAAATATAGAATTTTGAATTTCCCTTAAACTCCTAAAACCATAGTTCTAGGCGATACTGTGAGGTGTAAAAGAGACAGGGAAGGGAATTGCTTCTGATTTACATGACGACATTGCAAGAAATAAGGAAAGCAGTCCTTTGGGGGACTGTCACCCATACATAGGTCTTCCTAGAATTTAATTTTGTTTCCAGAGAAGCATCATAGTGCACAATAACACAAGAAGAGGAACTTATCAAAGAAAAAAAAAACACAAGAAAAGGGTGATTACTCCAGAAATGGATTTCCAAAGTGAAGCTAGAGAATTTTTTGGAGCCAATCCAAATTCAACCATTAGCTAGTATACCATGAATTTCAGTCACCACCTTGTGCTATAGTTTATTGGTTTTCTATGAGAATCTCCACAGCCAGTGGCTAGAAGAGCTAGGGGCAGACTGAAAAGGACTTGGTTGGGAGTAGTAAGAAATGATTTAAGTGCCCATAATTTAAGGATGGATATGGCAATGAACAGAATAGAATGTTGAAACAGGATTCATGTAGCCAACCCCATATGGTTAATGATAATTATAAGAAAAAAAGGCATGGTTAATGATAATTATCAAAAAAAAGGCTTGGTTAATGATGATGATCTGTCTTCATTTCATTTGTAATATAAAAATGCCAAATGTTTTGAAAATTGTAATTATATTGTAAATTACAAAGAAGGTTGAATTTAATTGAATTGTGAATGACAAGATTTCTTCTGTTTTTTAAGAAATGTCAAAAAATTAAAAGCAAAGAACTTAATTATATATAGAAAAGTCATTTTACCCCAAAGTCCACGTCAATATGTACTTAAATATGACAAATTTTACTATTTGTACATTAGAAGTATAAGATGATTTAGTCAAGTTTGACTTGAATGCTCACAAACCCATCTTGGCTCTTTAAACTACATATGATGGAAAATAAACTTAAAGGTTTTGAAAAAGGTCTTAAATAACCTAAATAAATCTTTACTAGTAAGGGTTTTAAAACAATAGCCCTTTGGGAAAAGTTGAAAGAATTGAAGGAATGACAAAGTAGAGAACCAGGTCTCAGTTGAATTGTATAAGTTGCAGGATTGAAATGTTAACTATAGGACTTTTTTTTTGATCAATAAGTTAACTGTAAGACTTTCCTAGAAAAGTACTTAGATATATGGTTCAAATCAAAACCCTTGGGATTCATGACTTGAGTTGTATATTGTAGGATTTTGACAATAATGGATGGTCTTGGTTTCACATCACACCTCTGAAAATTGTAAATTATGGTGACAGGTCTTGGGGAAAAGGCAAATATGGGTATCAAACAAGCTTTAAAGAGTATTGATGCTTTTCCTCGTGCGGAAGAGCACTTGTTGCAGAAGACACAATCTGGAGCAGTTGGTAAGGATATCTTGTTTTTTTAGTTATGCTCACCAAAATATAAATAACATTGACCCTGTAAATTCTTTTATTGACTATTCTTTATGCATCTTTTTTTTAGTTCCTTACTACCAATAAAATAGGAAAATGACAGGGTTAACATTTTTATAAAATAGAAAAAAAATGTGCCCAACACCCCACAATTCAGATAATCTGGGAGTAGAAATGCCAGAGGAATTAAATGCCACCCATATTGTCTTGATTCCTAAGGCTAATGGGCCTGAGAAGGTTGAGCAGTTTCCATCCCAAAAGTCATTGTAAATGCTCTCTATAAAATCTTCTCAAAACTTTTACAAATTGTCTTTGTGATATCCTTACCAAAGTTGTGCCGCCCTAGCAAGGAGCTTTTGTTCTTGGATGGCAGATGTGGATAATGTCATCCTTGGTCATGAGATCATGCATTATTTGAGGAAGAAAGGATATTTTGGGGCGTTTGTACTTAAGGTGGACATGTCGAAGGTCTATGATAGGGTGAGTTAGTCTTTCCTTTTGGAGGTATTGGCAGCCTTGGGGCTTTGACAATAGTTGGAGTGCATTGATTCACAACTGTATATCTACTACTAAAATGGTTGTTCTTGTGAATGGTGAGCCTGCAGTGAGTTTTTTATCCTTCTCGTAGTCTACGCCAAGGTGATCTGCTATCTCTATATCTTTTCGTTATTTGTATGAATGTGTTGCTCATTTATCTCAATCATCTGCTTGAGATGGGTGGATTGAAGGATGTTAAACTTGGAAGGGGATGCCCAAGCATCTGTCATTTACTCTTTGCTCATGACCTCTATGTGTTTGGTCAAAGAAAGAAAGGTGAGTTTCGGATGTTACAACATGCCTTGGCTTTTTTTTGGGTGGCATTGGGTGAAGATGTTGATTACAGTAAGTTCGACATAATGTATGTGTATTTATTAATAATATATACTTTTATACATATGGACATGCTATTGACCGTGCTGTGGGTTGTGCTGGCATGGGTGCATATGGGTCACGGGCCATGCCGGCCTGTGGGTCTTAAACCCATAGCCCAGCCCGGCCTGGCATTGTGGGTTGTGCTGGGCACAACATGACACTGTAGCACGACGAGCCGTGTTTGGCATAATCCACATCGTGCCAGGCTGTGCTGCCCCATGGGTGGCCCAACCTGTTTTACACCTAAGTTAGGCTTTGTATTGCAGAGCCTATTCTTTGTAGGGCTATTCATCAGTAATACATTATTAAGATCGTTGGGCTTGTGATATACTGATGTTAGATTCTAGGTTCTTCTTCTCCACTCACTTCTTTGTCTAGCCTTGGAACTTGGATGGAGTCTATCTTCCATGTTGCACGTTAGAGTTAGGTTGAGAAGAGGAAGAAGGAGAAGAAGAAGAAAAGAATTGAATGGGTGTCTCACACACTATTCACACCTAGAAATTGATATTTATATTAAATATGTAAAAGGACAATTCTGTCCTCAAATAATGTAGAAAAGGTGTACAAGAAATAAAGAATATAGTGTACAAGGAGTATAGTATAAATATGCTCCCAAGATACATAAAAAGTAAAAGACAAAATTAACCCTATTTGTCTCTACATTCCCCCTCAAATTGATGTTGGGGAATGGGCATCAATTTGTCCATGAGATAGGTGTGCTGTGCTCTTGACATAACTTTAGTGAGAAGCTCTGCAATCTGAAGTCCAGAAGAGACACAAGGGAGAGAGATATTGCCTGCAAGGTGGAGATCCCTAATAAAGTGACAATCAACTTCAATACGCTTTGTACACTCATGGAACACAGGATTGGAAGCAATCTTGATAGCATTGAGATTGCTAGTAAAAGGAACAAGGGATGGGAGGTCAATATGAAGGTTGTGCAAAAGAGCCTTAAGGCAAATAACTTATTGCAGACAGAGGATATGGCCCTATATTCTGCTTCAATAGAAGATTTAGAAACAGTAAATTGCTTTTTACACTTCTAAGATATGAATCCCCTAGAAATACACACCAACCAGTAGTAGATCTTCGAGTGTCTGCACAACCAGCCCAATCAGCATCTGCATAGGCAGAAAGATGGAGAGACGATGATGATGAAAGTAGGCCATGAGATAACCCTCTTTGTCTCTACATTGCATACACCCTGAACTATCTTATATTTGGACTTGCTTTTCCTCTTTCTTCATCGTTTGAGTAGAATTCTTTTCCTCCAAGCCACTCTTCTCTCCTTTATATAACAGGGTTAATATTGGTATTTTCTTCATCTTCTGTTGAGCAACAGCATAGTACATTGTTTTTCTTTTTTATCATGGAAAGAGGTTGGTACTAGGCTTTAAATGTCCATAAATTTCCTTATACTTTTGCAACATATTTCCATTTCCATGGATACCAACATGAAATATTACTAGAATCAACATATTCTCCAGTGAAAACTACTGGTGCTATGTGGAGTACAAGAGATAGTATTATAACTTAAGTTGGCGACAACATTTTAGATATGTGGGATATCAGTTTCATTGCCTACCTAATGGACATGGTTGCCACTTTGAGCCAGCTTGAAATTTTTTCCAAACATGATGTTAAATCTTACCTTTTATTGTACGATAAATTATTTTATTGATCTATTAGAATCATTTGTACTTTGAATTTAAATTTTGCTTGAACTCACTTTATCATGTAGCTTTGATGATTTAGAATGAGATAATAATTTAAATGGGTCTACTTATGAGGGTAATTTATCCAATTGAAGGTTTAGATCTGTTGAGTTATTTGGGCTGTGAGGAGCATCTTTTTATATGGTCCACTCTATTTATTTTATGTTTTTACTTTTTAGGTTTTAGTTGTAATGGGCCTATTTGGTCTGTTCTTTTCTTTATTCTTGCAGCCACCCTCTTATGGGCATTATTGCAAATGTACACTAATGCATTTAATAGAGAGTAGCTTGAATATGTCAAAGGAGAAGGCTGGAGAACAGCTACGATTCCTTCTTCCCAAAACCCTCATTTCCTCCTTTTTTTTCTCAACTGTTCTAAACTTCTCACATATTTCTGCACTTATTCTTTGATTAAAACTTAAGATGTAGTGCTATTTTGGTCTTATAGAATCCTTCTGCATGGTGAAAATTGGAGACATGCAGCAAGCTTACCTAATTGTGGTCACATTGGAAACCATTTCCTATGTATACACTTTAAATACTTTTCCATCTTTTTTCTATATTAAATTTCATAAAGTAAAGATTTTTGGAAGTGAACTTTACTACATCCAAATCTAGCACATAAAATGTGAAATTCTTCTCCTTGACATATTCTATGTGGAAGGTGGGACTAATCTAATGTGATATCTGCCTCCATCCTATCCTTTATTTTTACTTTCTCAATTGGAATATACTGGATTTAGAATGAACTTGAACTTACTCCATTTTCCTTTTTCCCTGTAGTCTCCGTTATTGGTCTGGTCATAATGGCTACATTGTTCTTGCACGAACTGAAGTATTATCTCACCACATATACAGTCCATCAGGTTTGTATATCTGCTACAACTCCTTTATTTGTCCTGTATCCATCCTGCTTTTTCATGTATTATGTTTGTGTTCCGTTCTTTCCTGCAATTATATTTTTACAGTGTTTTAATAGACAATGCTATGAATGTTGCTGCTTTTGCCTGTTTCTATCTATTCTATGATTCTGACTTCTATGTTCTGGTCAGATGTCTGTTGATTTGAAACGTGGTGAAACTCTTCCTATCCATATAAATATGACATTCCCATCTTTACCTTGTGATGGTCAGAATTTCTCTTTCTCATTTTAGACCAACAGTCTGCCAGATTATTGTTGATTTGGAGCACATCTTTGTGCTGATAAACTTCATTCCCTGAATTGAATGATAAACATTAATGTATTTTGCAGTTTTAAGTGTGGATGCAATTGATATGTCAGGCAAACATGAAGTGGATCTTGATACAAACATATGGAAAGTAAGGACGTTGACATTACTTACTCTTTAGGTTTTCTCTTGCAAGTTACATATTTCATATATGTTGATTATTATTTCCTTATCATGATGGTATGTTTTTCTGTTGCTAGTGATGGGTTTATAATTTTGTATTTCTTTGTGATTTTCCTTTTCTTTTAGAGGTGTTGTCATTTCTCAGGATGCTTTCCCTTGCTTTCATGTCTTAAGATTGTGGGTGCTTGTATTATTCCTTTGTTTTTTGCCTGGTAATATCTTCCTTATTTACACCCTTTACAACTAAAAAAGAAGGAAAAAAAATAAGGGTTTATGATCAATGTTAGTTGGGTGAGGTAACTGTGGGCCTGTGGCTACCTCAAGGAAAATTTGGTTTTCTATATCATTGTACATTCATTTATCTATGGTTAATACAATGTACAGTTTCCAGTATATAATAACCACTCTTCACTTTATTTCTTTGTGGAAATGAGCCTGAAAAGTTCCTTGAATCTCAATTTATTTATTTGTTCTATTTATTTTCCTCCATTCATCTCCTGAGCCTTTGGCCTTAAAATCATGGTTTCTTCGTAAATTCCATCTTGTTTTCTCAATTCATTCTCCTGAGGCTGTGGCTTTCTTGTTTCTTCTTTCTTCCCGAGCAAAGCTGATTGGACTTAGCAGTATTCTGTCAATCTGCTAACATGTTGAATGTCTGCAGCTTCGCATAAATCAAAATGGTGATATTATTGGTACTGAATATATATCTGATCTTGTTGAGAAGGAGCATACAGCTCACAAACATGGTAAGTTTGCACATCAGGCATCCTTTTTTCTATTAAGAAATATTTCCTTGTAGTTTTTAAGTTCTTTTTTAGTGACATTAATATTATCTTCCTCAGTCTATTCTGAATGATATTTACTGGATAAGAAAGAAGGCTATCTCATTTATAGTCAAGTACACAATTGGTGGAAAAGTGGTTTTGCTTTGTTGTTTCAGAAGAGTCACCTTATCCAGAACCATTTATATAGAATTGCTTGTAGAAAATAATGAAGAAATCAAAAATTGACTTCAGACTTAAGATATGTTATATGTGGATACCTGAACATACATTTGGGCTACCAATATTAACATGGTATGACAAAGCTACTAACCCTTGATACTTGTTGAGTATTAAGTTCCATTTCCTAATGCTATTCTCTTGATCATATAATTTATGTACTTATTTGTAGCAAAATATACAGAATGATATTTGATAAATTTTACCATACGAAATTAAGTAGATTTTTGAAATTTCATTGAATTTGAGGGAATATAGATTAAAGACTACAAGTTGTGAAACTATTTCCAATTTACCAATCTTCTTTCTTTTTCCTCTGGCATTTTGGAGTTTTTTTTTTCTCATTTTTGGGATGTAGGTGGACTTCATTGGCGATGCAGAAAATCTTTTAGGGCCTCATGTTTTTTCTCTTGACCTAAGAAGAGATGTAATATCTTATTGAGATGCACAAGAGCTGCAATCCTGTGGAAGAAAGAAATGCTGGACTATTCAAAGAAAAGGCCCTAACCAGAAAATTTTTGATAGGACACATATCTTTGAAGGTGGTCAATTGGGTAAAATATTAAAAAGATCATTGTTCCTTTTTTTGTTGAAAATATATTAAGGGGATGCCAGGTTGTGGCTCAACCGTCATCAAGACATCTGCACCACCTTTCTTGTGGACCCCTCCCATCTATAACTTCATTAAGCTTGATTTAATGGTTAACCGAAGCCCTTCTTGCATAGATAGTTTTTTAGGAATTGTTGAGGAAGTATTTTTAAGGTATCTTCTGGTCCTACAGGCCATGAAAACTAGGGGTCCAAAAAACTGAAAACCGAACCACACCGAGGAAATCGAATCGAAAAATCTAGTTAACCCAACTGATTGATTCGCTTTTGGTTCAGTATTTTGCAAAAACCGGTGGTAACAGTTCAGTTTTTGTTTAACCTAAAAGAAAAACCAACAGTTAACCGAACCAACTGGTATATATATTTATATTATATTATATTTAATAGTATATATTTATTACCTATATATTATATATAAATTTATATGCATATATATTATATTTTTAATTGTCTATTTATAATATATTAAATAAATTATATATTATATATTTGTAGTATTTATTATATAGTATATTATATATTTATGGTATTTATATTATATTTTTATAATATATATTGATTATATAAAAAACCAAGAATTAAGGTGTTGGCTGATGGGAGTTATGAAACTGGCATAGGTGTTATGGTGACCTCTGCAAATATGGATAGAGATGTTCAGATGTTGGCAATTAGAGGGTGGTAAGTAACAGGTCAAAGAAATCCAAGTTTCAAAATGAAGGTAGGGGGAGGATAAGATCGGTGCAAAGGGCAGAGGAAAGAAGGGAGGGGCGAAGTGAGGAGCACCTTCTAGGAAGGGAGAAGGCAGGGGAGGCCCTCATTTCAGGGTCGCACCAAGCAGGGTTGTGGACGGGAAGTTGAGAGGCAAAGAAAGAGAGGAGCGTTTTGTGGAGAAAGCCAGATTGCCAAGCTGGTTGACAGAAGGGAAAGTGACCCTAAAGGTGGGTATGGAATACTTCTATCTCATTTCAGATGGGCAGGGGGAGAGAAAACAAAAACAATTCCTAGAATCTTGTTTCGAAGAACTAGGGATTGTTATTGGTTGCAAGGGTTAGGAAACTGGTTAGAAATAAGTTCTTATTCATTTTACCTTCGCCTGGAGAAACTTGAGAGACTTCATTAGATACAATTGCACACTTGAGGCTCAAAAAACCATAAACAAAAACTTTATAATCAAGTAGGAGAAAATTGAGAGACTTCATTAGATATATCTTTCTATTTATTTCCCTTTTAGTCTTTTAGCCATCTTCTCTTCATTAGAAAAAGGCAGCCCATCACACGAGGCTCCCACCAATGCGGGGTTTGGGGAGGGACAAACATATGCATAGAGAGGTTGTTTCCAAGATTTGAACCTGGTCACCCAGGTTGCAATGGAGCCATCTTCTCTTCATTTAATATGTGAATTACTTGCCATTTTTACTTTTTTTTTTGTTACCATAAATTTTGATTAGTTTGAGAATACTCTTTTGTAGTTATATGCATTTTACTTTTTCTTTTGAATTGTAGTGACTTTATAAGTGAGTAATATCGAAATAGTAAGCCAATTATCCAATCGCCAATTGCCCATATTTATTTTAGGAAAATATTTTAAAAAATTATAATGATTTTAATGAAATTCTGAAAATTTAAACCTTAAATATATACTCTATCAGTGAAATCTGAAATATCATTGACATATCAGCAATCCGGAATTGTCAGGGATTGGAGGAGTCTTGAAAACTGAAGAGAGCAATATCCTATCACTGTTTTCAGGCCCGGTGGGAGTAGGTGATTCTACAAGGGCTGAGCTGTTGGCTGCTGTACAAGGAATTCAGATTGCCAACCAACTTGGGATAGAGAAATTACTGATTGAAGGGACTCTAAGGTGATTGTGGATTGGTTGCTGGACCCTGATTCAGTTACTTGGAGCTATAGGGATCTTATGAAAAAATTAAATGGTTAACAAGACAGATGACAATTAGGGTCCAATGGCTTGAAATGCTTTCACTTTCTTGCCAAACAAGGGGTATCTAGGGAAGAGTTATTTTGGGCCAGTCTGTAATTTTTCTCTTGTTTTTCTTGTCTCACTGTAATGTCTAGGAGAAGCTGCACCTCGCTCCTCTCCAAGGGATACTTGTAACACCTTATTTTCTTTGATTAATGACTCTTCCCTAGATACCAAGCTCAGGTATGGCTTGTCCTTTGGTAGTAAGACTAAATTCTGGGAAGACTTTTGGGTTAGGGATGCCCCATTGAAGGATTGCTTCCCCTCTATTTTTTGTACTCTCTTACCTCAAGGATAGACCAATTTCCGACTTTGTCTCCTTGTCTCACCCTAATCTTGTTCTTGGTCCTTCTTGCAATTTTGGTTTGAGAAGGGATCTAAGGATATTGAGTTGACTCCTTTGTCTAACTACTTACAAGTTATTGATGGGGTGTATCATGTGTGGGTCGAGTTGTGTGTTTGCTTTTAAGTTTCCTACCCTTTTGTTTGTTGTATTTGGGAATGGTTTATCTCTCTTTTGGTTGCAGTTAGACTAATGTTAGTTTGGACAAGCTGTTTGATCCAAATACCGTTCCATGGCAAAAAAGAAGAGGGAGGATAATGTGGAGATGTACAAGAGCAGCTTTGATTTGGACAGTCTGGGAGGAAAAAATCAACCACATTTTTGTGGAGAGGAAAAGAAGTAAGGAAGCTGTCATTGAAAGTATAATGGTGAGATAGCACATTGGGTAAGAACATAGGAGGCTTTTGCGGACTTCATGATTGATGATGTAATGAGAAATTGGATTGCTGTGGTGGGACCTTCAATTAGGAGCAAAAGACAGTGAGGAGTTGGTCTCATCTGAAACCAGGTTTTATTAAACTAAATTTTGATGGTAACAACTTTGGCAATTTGGGGACCTCAGGTATAGGAGGGGTTTTTGGGAATGAAAAGGGAGTGATTTTTACATTGTTCTCAGGACTGATAGGGGTATGAGACTATGAGAGCAGAACTGATGGAAGTGGTGCATGAGGATTTGTGCATTGTCCAGAGATTTCCTCTCAAGATCTTCCCTGTTAAGATCATTAATTCTGAAATATCAATGGTCCACTCAGTCACCAACGCACAATTTCTGTTATAAGCTTTCTTCCATGTTTATGTTTGTCTTCGAAAATATGGATATTCCTCTTCCTCCAAATGCTTTAGCGGATGACAAATAGATTGTTTGACTGATAGGGTCATAATTATTGTTATTTGATCTTAGGCTTGATAATGATACTTTTTTTTTTCTTTTTTTGAGAGAAGATAAGCAGAATTCATTAAATAAAGAAGTACATGAGAAGATGTACAACTGAAAGAAACACTGCTGAAGATTCTGAGTACAAAGGCAGATTTCTGTTGCTATACAAATTCTCTCTCACGGCTCCTAGTCCTGACTTAGCTAGACTATCAGCTAGAGCATTTAGGTCTCTGGTAATCCAAACTAAAGACACAGTCATAGAATCTAAAATGTCCCTAGCCTCATTCAGGAAATGAACCAGCCTTCAAGGACCACATTATTTCCTTCATAACCAGTTTATTCTGTTTATGGTGTCTCCTTCATTATTCAAATTCAAGATGCCCAAATTCCTGTCAATTCAGATTCCAGTAAGAGCAGTTAGAACCTCTCTGCCATAGTTGAATCAGCAGTCCCAATAAGGCTATTAAAAGCCAAATAAACTTGATAATGATACTTTGTCTTATCTTGAACTTGATTTTCTTTGACATGCCAAACAACAAAGACCAATTGTGGGATACACCTAAGGAGATATTCTCTGAAGGGATGGGGGCAGGTAGTCATTGTTAAGGGATCAGGATCCACCCCTCTAATAGTTGGAGCTAAGTCCTTTCTTGAATGCATTAATGGTAAATATTGGAAGGGAATACCTTTTAAATACTACCAGATCATTATGACCTTCTTTTGGCTGGGTTTTGCAGGTGGCTAGACCTTTTGTGTAACCATATGGCTGTATTTGTAGCTGTACAACTATTTAGGCAACCACATGGAAAATGGTGTTGCTGTGACTTCTCAAACTGTTTTATTCCAAGTGAAGATTAGTGAAAGACTTGGATTTGATGCAAGAAGAAGGTAGGAGCTCTGCTTTGATACCAAGATGTAAATCCCACCTGTAAAAAATCTGAAATAAAATAAAAAAGATGTGGAAGATTGAAGATGGAAGAGAGAAATTATAGAGGAAGAAGATGGAAGAAAAGGAAGAAAAGAGGAGAGTTAATCAAACCTCTCTCCACTCCCCCACAACTATATTTTATTCTTTGATTGTAAAAAGAATGCAATTACATGAATGCCCTTGGTAGGGCAGCCAGCACTAAAAGCAATAGTAAAAGAAATAAAACAGGCCCATAACTAAGGCCTGCTAATCACAGATATAAAGCATAAACATAAATAAAGAAACAATAAGAAACTTTGGCCTATTTGGCCCACCATCTCTAAAAAATTCAAGAGCATATTTTAGTTTCAGTTTTGGGAACAAAAAACATATATGTAACCAAGGACATGTTTTTTTTTTTTATGTTTTTGTTTTCAGAACCAATTTGTTACCAAATCAGATGGTTTTGATTTATTTTTATTTGTCACTACAAGAAAAACAATTCACATTGGAGAACACCCCATAAAATATTAGGTGCTTTGAATCAATTCAGCAATCTGCTCTAATTCGGATTGTAGCATAACATTGAATCAAATTGCCATTTTCAAGATTTTTGGGAAGAAAAATAAGAAAAATACTAAAACAGCATAAAATAACCATGTTTTTGTACCAAATTTCTCTATAATCATCCTCTATTGGAAACTAGGGCTTCTAGGATCTGAGGTTTTAGTTGACCATATGATCTATACTTACATCATCACTGTTGTCAGATGATGTCAGTATTTTGTGGATTTTGCAATCTGTGACATGTTTTTTTTTTTTTTGAAACTGTAAGGTAAAGTATTTCATTAAAAACAAAAGGGCAGAATACAGAAGGCCCCTGTACAATGGGAGACTGTACAGCAGATTTAGACAGAAAAAACTCAGAAAAGCCAGCCTCCAAAAACAACCCAACAGAAAAACTATGATCTTCTTACAAAAAGGAAATCAGGCTAAAAAGAAGAACAAGTTTGCCTGTTTTTAAAGAGTGGATGGTTTGTCAGCCACGAAAACACTACCCCATAATCCTGTTGAGCACCTCTTCTTTTGATTTCTGCCTTCCTTAAAAAATTCTAAAATTTCTTTCACCCCATACTGCCCAGAAAACAGCAACGGGAAGGATACTCCAAACTACTTTTCCAGCCTTTCTGAGGCCTCCTAGGAACCAAGCCTCTAGGAAGCCCTTCACATCCTTTGGGAAACACAAATTAACTCCAAAAAATTTTAGCAGTCTTGTCCAAACCCAGTAAGTGAAGTCACAATGCAGTAATAAATGACTAGTACTTTCCACATTTTCCTTACAGAAAGTGCATCCCAGATCTTTCACTTCTAAACCTCTTCTATATAAATTCTCCTTGGTTAAAATCTTATCCAGAACTGCAGACCAAACAAAAAAAGCTAGTTTTGATGGAACAGGCCTGATCCAGACCCTGTTGCTCGGAAAGTGAGAGGTTTCTTCCCTTGACAGGTAGTTAAAAAAGGACTTTACTGAGAAAGAGCCCGACTTCTCAATCAACCATTTCCTTTTGTCCTCCCTAGAACCCAGAATCTCGGCATCACACAAAATCCGCAACAGGTTCACTAGAGACTCCACCTGTCAGTCATTCAAGTTCCTCTTGAACAGAGGGTTCCAAGTAACAAAACCATTTTGCCTCTCTATATAGTCAGCCACATTCATCAATGCTCTAATACCAACCTGAGTCTTTAGTCTAATTAGCTTATTGGTTTTAGAGAGAAATAGAAAGAGGGTGAGAAGTAGAAAGGAAGAGGGCAAGAGTAACTCATTTGAGGGCAAGTTCTCGTCATAAGTTGCTAGCCCTTCATTAATATTTGTGTAAAAAAAGTATAGTTATAAAATTGCTCTTATACATCATTGATTCCATGTCCAGACCTTGGAACTCAACTGTATAAAGACATTTATATACTTACATTTATGATTCATTTAAGGTTTAGTGATCCACATATAGAAACAGCTGGATTGTTCCTTGATCTGAACCATCTGATCTGTCCAATGTTTCTGCTAATCCGGATGCCTTTTTCTAAGTTCATCTATCACTAAATGACTAATCAATTGATTGCTCACTCATTTATTGATCCTATCTATGCATGAGATGGCAGTAATTCAGTTGGAGGGACCTAAGTTTTGTCTGCCATGTACATACAGTGTAGCCCCTTGGTTCTTTTTAGGGATTGTTTTAATTTCGTTGTGTTCTTTTCAAGCAGCATTGTTTGTTTCACCATAGGAGGGGTGGAAAATTTTAACATTGCAATATTTTATATTTTTGCCCCATTTTCGGGGACAACTTTGTTTTCTGCCATTTTGCCATGGAAACTCAGTCTTAGGGTAACAATGTCTCTAGTTACTGCATTCAGGAATTTACTTGTTATACGAATTGATATCTTACAAAAAAAAAGATTATTTCTCCAGATGGTGACAAAGAACATCATGAGTCAGAAAAGGCTCATACTCATAGTTTTGATCAAGATGCTGAAAATATGATCAAGAATGTGAAACAAGCAATGGCAAGAGGGGAAGGATGTCGGGTATGTCTTAATAGTGCCTTAGAATGCTCAAAGTATCTGCATCTATCTGGTGTTTGATTAACATACATCTCTCTGCAGGTTTTTGGTATTTTAGATGTCCAAAGAGTTGCTGGGAACTTCCATATTTCAGTTCATGGTTTAAACATTTTTGTTGCACAACAGGTTAAGTTTCTGCTCCTCTGCTGCATTTCTAGAAATACCCAATGAATGCACCTAAACTATTGGTGATAATCTAAGGCTATTATGTTTTTTTTTTTTGTGTCATTTTATTACAGAAAATCTATTGTTTTCTTCTATTAGCTTGTTGTATTCTACTTATTCCTACTTTTGATCACTTATTTGGAGTGCCCTGATATTGTGTTTATATGTTGATTCATTCAATTCTCTTTATTCTTATGTACTTTTATTATAGGATGTTGTATATCCTCTATTTGGAGCATTTTGTGGTCTTAACATGCCATTTGTAAATTGATTGCAGAAGTAGGATGAAACCCAAACATTCATTTTTTGCTTTGTAATAATTGCACTCTGGGCTTTTCTATAAATAAAGTCTTTCGGTAAGTGAGGTGACCCTCCATAGGCCCCTCGTTGCCTTGACAATTATGATTTCATATTCAGGGTTGAGTCCAGCTAGAAAATCAAATACCCAATTTCTATATCAGTTTCTGATATGTAGTTGCATCTTTTGGACTTTCCTATTGTATTGCCTCAAAGTGATATCTAGCTCTTACCATAAAGACTTAAGTGTGGAAAGGTAAATTGCAAAAGGTTTCTCTCTTGCTTCAAATTGTTTATCACACTCTATAGTTGATAGTGTTAGAGCCCAGCCCAACTACATGGCTATAGCTAGTCCAAGCCAGCCCCAGTGATTTAAAAGGCGCGCCTAGGCGCATAGGTGAGGTGCATTTTGGGGTATGTGCCTCGCCCATGTCCTAGGCGCACCCCTTTCAAGGTGTGTGCCTTTTTAAAATTTTGCACTTTTTGCATTTTTTTGAGTCTAACGGCTCGGCTGGGGGCTCCGCCCCCGGACCCCCAACCATGCCCCTCGAGGCAAGCCCGAACAAGTCTTATGTTAGGGTCTGAAATTCTAATTTCTCACATACACCGAAGCTCTGAGAACCCCCTATTTGCTAATGTTGTTCATTCATTCATTGCAATAAAAATATCTTCTTAAAAGGCAATGAAAGTTATAAAATCATTGTTTTTTATGTGAGAAATAAAAATTTCAGACCCTAACATAGACTTGTTCGGACTTGCCTCGAGGGGCGTGGTACAAAGGTGACTCATAGAATCAAGAATGCAATATGTTTTACATCACATTAGCTACTTGAAGTAATGCAATTAAGGAAAAAAAAGAGATCGTGGGTTTTACATGCTTGAAAATGCTTTATATGTTTGCTTTTATTTTTAAATTTTCATTTGAATATGCTTTACATGTTATGTTTATGTATTGTAATTTTAAATAATAGGTTTTTTAAAACATTTAGTTTACAATTTAAGTTTATATTTTTTATTAACATTATGTTCAATATTTTTTGAATTTTTGAAATTTTAAATTTTTTTAGCATTTTTTTGATTTTTTGACTTTTTTATTTTTATCTTTTTTTTTTGTAATTTTGCACCTTGCTTAAAAAGGCGTGCGCCTCGTCTTGCGCCTTGCGCCTCAGGCGCAAATTGTCCCTTGCGCTTTTAAAACACTAGCCAGTTCCAAGATGTTGTTGCAGTAGGTCCAGGTCCATCAGCAACTGATCTCAGTACCACTAAAAACCCACCCATTCATCAGACTGTTGGTTGAGTTTCTAGATTTGATTATAACGAACTCAGAATGAAGCATATGAATAAGGGTGACCGAGAACAAGGGCATAGAAACTTTACCTCAAAATTCTCTCTACTTTTCTTCTTTCTAAGGAGGTTGAGCTGCCCTCGAAGCTAACTCTTGAGTTGAGTAGTAACTTAAGAACTGGTATTAGAGCACCGGTTTGTGCCTAACACCAAATTAATATCGACAGAGGATAAATTATCTCATCGATGGAGGATAGGGTTGAATTGGTCGAGGTCAGTTTGCACAAATTTGAAGGAGGTCTAGAAGATATTAAGGAGGCTTTATCAGCGATCGTTTCTTAGAGATCCAAATCCAAAACCAATGGAGGAAGAGACCAAGAAAATGAGGGATCCAGTGGCGGAAGCAGCCGCAAAAGCTGTGGGTGTTCATATAGAATGATCAATGATGAGACTTCATTTCCCTTTCTTCTGCAGTGAAGATCTAATGGCCTGGATATCCAAAGCAAAGCGATACTTCAAAGTTCATGAAACGCTGGCATACCAGAGAGTGAATGTTGCATCATTTACCTGGAGGGCAAATCGATTTCATGGTTTTAGTGGTATAGGAACTCCTATCCACAGGACACCTTGGCGAATTTTACAGAAGAGCTCTCTCTTCATATGTTTTGAGATCTTAGCTTATGTTGATCACGATGAAGCTTTGGTGAAGTTGAAGTAGACCACCACTGCTTGCGAGTACTTGGTGGAATTTGAAAGCTATCGACCAGGGTCAGAAAAAAAAGGCAAGAACAACTTGGGTACTTTGGTTTTACAAATAATTGTTAGCATTTCTGTGCTTTATTGTAGGAATTGCAAGAAAGTGTTGTCAGAATGTTAATTCATTGAAACCAAATCGACCAGGCGTGCACTCATTGGTTGATTTGATTTTTTACTTGAATCAATCCCTTGTTATTGGATTTTTTTTTAGTATAATTTCTCACAACATAATTCACCCAATTAGACTAATAATTGGCTTTTTTGTTATTTGGGTAAGCCCCATTCGGGAAATCATGTAGATATTCCTTTAATTACATCTTTGCTAGGGGTAGGGAAAGCCTTTTGATTCTGATTCAGAAGTACAAATGAATAGACTAACTAAGTATCATTTTTTCTATAGAATTTTCCTTTGAAAATTCTGGTATATACTCCCTCTTTGTTTGAGAGAAAACCAGCAAATAAATAGACAAACTTTTTATACATAATAAGTAAATAGGTATCATAAATAGTCATATTTCATCAATAAGGCTGCCAATGGCCTTTAAATTGTGATTATATGCATTTATCATGGTGTGAGGAACCATGATCAACAAAGTTTCATGAACAAGGTTGTAGATGGTTTTCCCCTCACACATAGGTTAATAGGTTGTGAGGAACCATACTCAACCAAGTTTCATGAACAAGGTTGTAGATGGTTGTCTCCCTCACATATGATTAAAATGAGACAAGGAGAAGAAGAAAAAAAAGGAAATAATAACAACAAAGAAGGAAAGTGTGTGAAAGGAGTATAAGGAAAGACAAAAGTTTAATAGAGGAAGTTGTAGGAGTATCATAATGTAGAGGTGGAGGAATACTGCAATCCCTACCTTCTTCTTTCTCCCCTTCACCCCACTTAAAATGGGTTAAAGAAGGAGAAGAAAACTCTTCCTTCCTAAGGTGACAAGTGCCCCCCCCCCCCCATTTAAAGTGGCTTAAGGAGGGGAGAAGAAAACTCTCCCCTAGGATGACATGAGTTCCCCCATTTAAAGTGGTTAGAGGAGGGAAAATAACTCTCCCCCCAGGGTGACATGTGTCTCCCCACAAACCTTGTATATGTTTCCCTACCTTTTCCTTCAAACCAAACATAGCATTACGGTGACATGTGTCCCCCCACTTCAAGTGGTTAAAGGAGGGAAAATAAATCCTTCTTCCTAGGATGACATGTGTCCCCCCACTTAAAGTGGTTAGAGGAGGGAAAATAACTCTCTCCCCTAGGGTGACATGTGTCTCCCGACTACAAGTGGTTAAAGGAGTGAAAACAAATCCTTCTTCTTACGCTGTATTTGGTTTGAAGGAAAAAGTAGGGAAAGGTAGGGAAACCTTCACAAACCTTGTATATGTTTCCCTACCTTTTCCTTCAAACCAAACATAGCATTAGGGTGACATGTGTCCCCCCATTTCAAGTGGTTAAAGGAGGGAAAATAGCCCTCTTGTTAGAATAGGACAAGTGGCATCCCCTTATAAATAAGTGGGGCACCTCACAAGAAATTAATTAATATGGATTTAATCTTTTAGGGCCTGTTATTCCATTAAATGGGCTCTACTGCAGGCCCATTAGATGCTTATTGCATTACAAACAAGCCCAATTAACTTGGGGCCTGTTGTTCACTAAACTAGACTGCAGGCCCCTTTCTTTATTAAAACGTTTCAGCCAACCAATAGGACTGACTGGGCTTATAAGAAAGCCCTGTTTCTTCTTTGTTATTATTATTATTTTTAAGCTGTGTCTGGGAGTATCTTAATAACCTGCTCTCAGTCCAACAAACTTAAGGACTTAACATCCCTTAACATGCTAGGCTACCTTGACTTTTCTAACTTGTCTTGGTAAGAAAGTAGACCATGTGACCACAAGCAACACATGTTAGGCTACCTTAGCAACTCCTAATAGTCATAGTAAGGTAGTAGACCTTGGAGGTAGCATCTTTTTTTTTTCCCCATCTGTTAGTGTTTTTTTTTAATGTCATTTGGGGTTGGAAAATAGCCCAGAAGTCATTGGGTAATTTAGTTTTACACATAATTGTTAGCATTTCTATGTTTTGTTGTAGGGTTGCTAGAAAGTGTTGTTAGAATGTTAATTCATCGAAATTAAATCAACTAGGCATGCACTCATTGGTTGATTTGATTTTTCACTTGAAGCAATCACTTGACATGTTAGGTTACCTTGATTTTTCTAACTTGTCTTGGTAAGATAGTAGACCATGTGACCATAAACAACACATAGTAGGTTACCCTAACAGTTCCTGAAAGTTATAGTAAGGTAGGAGAAGTTGGAGGTAGCCTCTATTTTTCCATATGTTAGCAGGTTGTTTTTATGTTATTTGTGGTCAGAAGAAGGGCAAGAACTCATTGGGTAATTTGGTTTTACACATAATTGTTAGCATTTCGGTGTTTAATTGTAGGGTTGCAAGAAAGTGTTGTCAGAATGTTAATTCCTAGAAACTAAATCAACTAGGCGTGCACTCATTGGTTGATTTGATTTTTTTACTTGAACCAATTCCTTAACATGTTAGGCTAACTTGATATTTCTAACTTGTCTTGTTAGGATGGTAGACCATGTGACCACACACAACACATATTAGGATAAATTAGCAGTTCCTGATTGTCATAGCAGTGTAATAGACCTTGGAGGCGGGCTCTATTTTTTCATACGTTAGTGGGTCTTTTTTATGTCATTTGGGGAAGGAAAAATGTCTACCACTCACTGGATAATTTGGTTTTGCACTTGATTGTTAGTGTTTTGTGTTTATTGTAGGGTTGCAACTTGCAAGAAAGTATCGTCACCATGTTTATTCATCGAAACCAAATCATCCAGGCATGCACTCATTGTGTGATTTGATTTTTCACACGTTAGTGGGTCTTTTTTATGCCATTTGGGGAAGGAGAAAGGTCTATCACTCATGGGATAATTTGGTTTTGCACTTGATTGTTAGTGTTTTGTGTTTATTGTAGGGTTGCAACTTGCAAGAAAGTATTGTCACCATGTTTATTCATCGAAACCAAATCATCCAGGCATGCACTCATTGTGTGATTTGATTTTTCACTTGAATCAATCGCCTAACATGCTTGGCTACCTTGAAGTTTCTAACATTTCTTGATAAGATAGAAGACCATGTTACCACAAACAACACATATTAGGCTACCTTAGTTATTCCTGATAGTCATGGTAAGGTAGTAGATATTGGAGGTATTCTCTATTTTTCCATATGTTAGTTGGCCGTGCTCTTTGTTTCCATGGGTTGTACTTCTATTTTTTGGCTATTTGTTTCTTTCTTTTGTATTTTCATGAGGAAGAATGAAAGAGGGGTGAGCATGGCTAGTTGAATGAAAGTTTTTTTTTTTGATAAATACTAGTTGAATGAAAGTTGATTTAGGAGTGTTTAATTTTATTTGTTCTTTGCTCAACTGATCAAAAAATTTATTTGTTCTTTGTTCAGTTTATGTTGATTATTGCTCTTAACTTTCTTTCTCAGATTTTTGAAGGATCTAGTCATGTGAATGTGAGCCATATGATTCATGATTTATCATTTGGGCCTAAGTACCCAGGAATTCATAATCCACTTGATGGAACTGTACGGATCCTGCGGGACACAAGTGGAACATTCAAGTATTACATAAAGGTCTGGATCATGCATTTTATTTGATGAGCACATAACAGTTGGCATCAGTTTTATGCTTTTATTTGATCTCGGCCTACCTCTGGAATTCCTGGTCATAACATGATGTCTTTTTACATTGGCTAATCGGAAAGAAAACATTTTCCTGATAATGATAACTTTTACTTTTATTAGTTGTAAAACATTCTGTTCAGGAAGCACTAGTAGAATGTCCAAATTGTTTTTAGGATTGTGGAAGGGTAGTGATGGTTTGGAAGTGAGAACTTGAAAGGTTTTTCGAAAGTGGTTTCTTTTGAGGTGGGTTGGTTGGACGAATCGATATCTATGCCCATTAAAGATACGTATAGGCTATCTGAGCAGAGTTTGAGGGATCATGTGGCACATTCTCTCTTAAATGTGCACATACCTTTGAGAGAAAGTTGCTTAATGGGCCACAATCTTTTGAAAAGAGGTTTTAGTAGAACTAAGTAGGTAGTTTGAGGCAAAGGCAAAATGGGGTGGTCACAAGATTTGATTGAGAGATAAGAGAATAAGAGTACACCAGTAGAAGAGGTCTATAGTACAACTGAGTTGACCTATTTGAAAACAGTTGAAGAAGGTAAGGACGAAGTGTCTTTTAAGAATGGTTTTTGCGATTCTGTGCTGTGGTTGAGGTCTTTGTTTCTTTTCAATTAGTTTCTGTGGGTGCACTATCAGAGGAAGTGCTCCATTAGAGTGTACAAATAAGGAGTTGGTGCTGGGTTTTCATGTTTGGAATAGCAAGAACCTTCAAAATTCAATATTGATTGTGTTCTGAAGACTGTTGCTGAGGGTGCTAAGAATTTTTCTTCTTCAAATCTTGCTTCCAAAGAAGAAGGCAGCATTTCAGAGACAGTAGGTAGACATTGTTTACAGATAAGTGCCACTGATGTTTTCCAAAAATATTAGTGGATGCAATGAAGAGTTCTTTGCTGAAGTAGTAGTTGGAAAGATGGGCAAGGATTTGGGTTGGTTCGGTGAATTTGAAGAGATCAGAAGGAATGTGTAATTATCATTTAATCCATGTAACCGAGGTCTTTTTTTGGTTGAAAGATGGTCTTGTTCATGTTGGTCCATTCCAGTGTTTTAAAAGCGCAAGGCACAGGGGTCAATTTGTGCCCGAGGCGCAAGGCGAGGCGTGCGCCTTTTTAAGCAAGGCGCAAAAATTAAAAAAAGGCTAAAAAATCAAAAAAATATTAAACATAATATTAATAAAAATATAAACTTTAATTTTAAAATAAAATTTTCAAAAAACCTATTATCTAATATTAAAATACATAAATATAACATGTAAAGCATATTCAAATGAGAATTTAAAAATAAAATCAAATATATAAAACATTTTCAAGCATATAAAACCCACAATCTCTTAAGACCCTCAGACTCTCCTTCAGGGTTTGGGTGGAACCTAGGTCTGAGAAGGGCAATTAGGGATGCAGACTTGGACCACCTTTTGTCTTTGTTAGCTATCCTTGAAAATGTTTTCTTGGATCCCAATAAGGAGGACACTAGATTTTGGGTTCCCTCTTCTTCAGGTGTTTTCTCTTGTGCCTCATTTTTTGAGACTTTAACTCAGCCTTCTGATCTCATTGGGTTGTCTTTCCTGGTCAAAGAAATTTGGAGTAGACCCATTCCTCCTTGGGTTGGTAGTTTTTGTTGGGAAACTTTTCTAGAAAGAATTAACACAAATGACCCACTTCAGAAGAAGAGACCCAACTCTTGTTTACTTCCTAATAGATGTACTCTCTGTAAAGCTGATGGGGAAACTGGTTACCACCTTATGGTTACTTGTTCGGTTGCTAAATCAGTTTGGGAGTGGGTCTTTTACCTTTTTGGGTACTCCCAGGGAGTGTCCAAAGTTGTTCTCTTCCTCCTTTTTCAGATGGCCGAAGAAGAGAGGGAAGACTGTGGAGAAGCATCAGGGCTGCAGTGTGTTGGAATCTATGGGAAGAAAGAAACTCACGAATATTTTCAAATAAGGAAAGAACCATCAGAAACTTATTAGATCTAATTCTGTTAAGGGTGGCACATTGGTTGAAAACTATGGAATTGTTCTCAGATTATTCTGTGGCTGATTTGGTGAGAAATTGGAAGGAGATAGCTTCCTCTGCCCTCTGTAAGAGGAGCTGTAGTCCTTTGTGGTCCCCTCCTCCTTCTGGGTTCATAAAACTGAATTTTGATGGCAGCTGTTTAAGGAGCCCAGGGCCTTTTGGGATTGGGGGAGTTTTCAGGAATGAGGTGGGGGCTATTATTGCTATGTTTTCAGGCCCAATTGGGGAAGGAGACTCTCTTAGAGCTGAGATCCTCGCAGCCCTGGAAGGCATCCAAAGAGCAAGGGAGCTGAACTTCAAATGTTTGGTCCTTGAAGGTGACTCGGAGGTGGTGATTAGGTGGCTAAAAGGGGGAGACARCGGCTTATGGAGTTATAACAATGAGAAGAATAAATTTAAATGGCTGAGTAGGGATATGGTGGTTCATTACAACTGGGTGAAGAGGATTGCTAATTCCTTTGCTGATGGGTTAGCAAAGCAAGGGGTGGATAGGGATTCGATTTTTTGGGCTAATTTTTTATTTTTTCCTTGTACTCTTTGATGGGGAGTTAAGTCTTTTTACCTCCCCTTTGTACCTAAGCTTCACATAGTTTCATATCTTTAATAAAGTTTCTTGTTATTGATTAAAAAAATGTGATGTAAAACATATTACATTCCTGATTCTACGAGCCGCCTTTGTACCACACTCCTCGAGAACCCCCTATTTGGTAATGTTGTTCATTCATTCATCCTAATAAAATGTTTTCTTAAAAAGCAATTAAAACTATAAAATCATTTTTTTTGTGTGTGTGAGAACTAAGAATTTAAGACCAAACGTGGACTTGTTTGAGCTTGCCTCGAGGGGTGTGGCATGGGGGTTCGGGGGCGGAACCCCCGGCCCAGCCACTAAACACAAAAAAAGCAAAAAAAACGTCAAAGTTTCAAAAGGCGCACGACTAGGCTGAGGCACAAGGCGCACCAGGCATGCGCCTTTTGAAAGGGCTGCGCATAGGACCTGGGCGAGGTGCCTACCCTGGAATGCGCATCGCTTGTGCACTTAGGCGCTCCATAGGCGCGCCTTTTAAATCACTGGCCCATTCAAAAAATTTAATAGGTTGTATAAAAGAAAGGGGGTGAAAATAAAGAACTCAACAGAATCTCGGAAGCCATGTTTCTTCGGATTAGTTGAACAAATAGGTGAGCAAGGTGAATTTGGGTAAGACTCAGAGACACTAGAGGAAGAAAACAGAGAATTTTTAGACCAAGTTGGGGTTGGAAAAAATTATTGATATGGAAGTTCAAATATGTGAGATGCTGAAGATTTTCTTTTTGGGCTGAAGTGGAGGAAGTAGAAGATTAATCTGTTGAGGGCGGTTTCATGGACTGATGTGTTTCGATGCATTTTAACCCTTATTTATACAATGTGACATGGTTTAGCAATACTAACCGGCACTAACTTCACATAGGCTCTCACTATACTAGGCAACAACCTTCCCAGGCAGCATCCCTACCACCAATACACAACATGAAGATAAACATTCAGTTCCAAACTGAACCCCACATGAAGGACCTCCGACCTGCTACCATGAAACTTCCCACCAATCCCCAGTTGACACTCAACCCTATGATCTGAAGGATTTAAGTCAGGCTGGGTTGAGGTGAACCCTAACCCAACCTGAGTTGGCTTATGACCACCTCAGTTTTGGTTGGGCTTGGGTTACATCCAGGTTGGCATGATTACTTAACTTAATTTTGTTAAAATCTTCCTATTTCTTATATTGAAGATTAGCAACTCACTTTGGCATTTACATAGTTTGGTGCTTTAGGAGTACTAATTTTTGTCTTTGAACATAAAATTGTTGATGCGTATATATAGATACATATATACATGGTCACATGATATTTATACATGCAAATATGAAGACATGTTGGGTTTGGGTAGCCCAAGCCTCAAGCTTAACCCAACTCTATAGTTAAGCCAGGTTCATATTTTTCAAACCTAAACCTAACAGGAGTACAGGACCCTAGCCAATCCAACTCTTGGGTTGTGTTCAGTCTAACCCATGCCCAAGTTGCAGCCCTAAGTTTACCTCTTTGGCCACCTGAACCTTCTCTTTCAGGCTCCATGTTGACACTGAAAAGGGTAATATTGACTTTTTACTTGGTCTGATCATTAGGCACTTGTCAAAGGGGCATCTTATAATTTAATGTTTTAATATATAAGCAAATGACTAAAGGGCATGAGAGCCAAGAAAGATTCTCAACCCCATTCTCTTATATTGTTTTATGCCCATAAAAAAAAATTGGATTGTGTGGTGGGTTGTGATTTTAGATTAATTTAGGGATTATTTGTTTGTGGATTAGAAGTTGTTTCAGTTTTTGTGGAAATTTACATCAAAATTTTACAACTCCCAATCTTTTCTTCATTGTCATTATCATTGTCTAAGTCACTTAAACAATCTTTTCTTTGTTGTCTTTATTCTTTTTAATGTTTTCAATCTGTCATTGACCTGGCCAGATGGACTGGTTGACCAGTCACCAGCAAGGAATCTGGGTCTGGCTGATCAAACCATCAAACCCTTCAACCTGGTCAGCAGGTCATGGATTACATATTAAACCTCTTTTTTTTAACCATAAAATATCCTTTCTTTTATGAAAAAAACTCCTAAAAACCTAATGCCCATCTAAGTCATATTTTTTTTTTTGTATTTTTAGTGATTTTCATCATTGATAACAATAATTCTGATTTGTTACGCTTATTTTTGTTTAATATGAACATAATATTTGAGATATGCTCAATTTTTTCTGCAAATTTCTGCAGTTTTCTGTATTTTCTGCATTGTAACTAATTTTCATGTTTTCGTTATGTGATTTATGAAGCTGGCTTTGTTTCCAGTTTGTTTTTTGAAATATTGGTTCTTCTTGTGTGACAGTTATTATGTGTGCATGGACATAAACTGCATAACACACATATGGTCATTGATAGTTGTGTTAATACGAAATGTTCAACTTATTTGGCGGTTAGTGATATCAATCAATCTGGTCTTTTGTCACTATATGTACAATGCAGATCAAAAAGATTTTCAACTACTTTCTAGAAAATACCAGGCACTACATAATAACATCATATCTGTTTCTTCCATTCACAGAACAAGTTTACACCTGTTAAGAAAACAAAAGAAAAAAAGAAAAAGAACAAGTGCACATTAGATTCGTTGTAGAATAAGCACATGATACCATATTTTGAAAGGGTTGTCTACATTCAATTTCTTTGTTGACATTTATATTACTAATACTGCTATTCTGAGTAATGTTTGTTTTGCTCTGTCAATGTTTGCTTTGCCTATATTTGAATATTTATCTATTTTGGGATGGATGGGATGTCTATGTTAGGAATGATCATGTTACTTTCTGATTTAATTTCATTTATTTTTGTGTCTAGATTGTCCCAACTGAATACAGATATTTGTCAAAAGATGTTTTGCCAACTAATCAATTTTCTGTTACGGAATATTTCGTCCCCATGAATGAATATGATAGGACCTGGCCAGGTTGGTCAACTTGATCTCCAAAAAGTAAAGCATTTTTATTATTTGTTTTTACCATTAACCTACTAATATCTTCTTTGGTGTAGCTGTTTATTTTTTGTATGATCTTTCGCCAATCACTGTGACAATTAAAGAAGAGCGCCGCAGTTTTCTTCACTTCATCACTCGGCTTTGTGCAGTACTTGGTGGTACATTCGCTCTAACAGGTTTCTCTTCTTTCAAGCTTCTTCTAAGTTCTTAATGGCAGTTATAATTATTGGAAACTTAAATATATGCATCAGCTTCTTGAAAATGCACATTTATCACCTTAGATTGAGGCAATGCAAACAAATCAATCGAGATTTGCCCAGTAATGCTGGAGGAAGGAAGCCAAAATTAGAATTTTTAAGAAAATGAATATTTAATCATTCAGAAAAGTGGGTCCAATATTTAATCCAAACACATTATTTTTCTACTGGAAGAATAGAATGACTAATATGTTAAGGTTTGAGATTTTTTTTTTTAGTTTTTATTTTTGGTAGAAAGGATTATAAGGTTTTCCTAGATGGAAGTTTAGTCATACAATTTAGATTGATTGCATTAAAAGATGAAGAAAACAAGAAAGGATATCTGGTTCCTTAGAATCAGGTGATGGAATCTACAGGGAGTATACCTTACTTTACAAATCAATCAAAATTTTATTGTACTGCCTGTAACTACAGAACTGGTTGCAATAGCAAGGAACTTCAAGATAGATTAATGTTGTACACTATGAATGCTTCCAAGATAAACCATAGCCACAAACCCTCACATCTACACATCTACTACACAACGATGGAGTTGAACACCTTCTAACAACCAATCAGATCTGGAATGTTCTCTGGAGTGATCGAACAAGCTCCGATACCATGTAAATGGTATTAAGCCTGCTGTACATGTGTAGATGTGAGGGAGAGGGAGAGGGAGAGGGAGAGGGAGAGAGAGATTTATATGTTTAGAACGAGATGCAAATAACCCATCTGTCCCTAATAAAGATGGGATAGCTACAGCTAAATAGGGACAGATTTGCATCTCCAAACATATAACAAAAAATAAGATAAAATGGCATAATACCCGTATCCATACACCTCTTAACATGACTAAATGGTATAAATCATAAGATTCATCAACACATGGATAGATTCAGACATAAGATTTAAATCAAAACCCTTAGAATCCATTATTCAAATCATGAATTGTATCAATAATTGTAAGATGTTGACAAAATATCAAATATCATCCTTTTGTGTCACTCTCCGATTGTAATCATATATAAAGGGCACTTCACAGATCTTTATGACCTTTCATTTCACCAAACTTCATCTCAAAAATCTATTAGAACGCTAGTTTTTGAACTTTGGTAGTTCCTTCCACAAAGGCAGTTTTTGTTCTTTTGTAGAAAATGTGCTTAGAATGTTTTACTCAAAAGAAAGAAAAAAGTGCTTAGAATGATTTAGATTAATCTTGTATACAATCCAATGATGCATCATTCTGAATATATCATTACATGTTTCATTAAAAATGTAAACCTAGTTTTATTTCTTCTTTGTAATCACATCTTCCTATGGAGAACCTGCCATTTTTGGTAATTTGATTCAGGACCTTTTCAATCTAGACTGTATTATAGCTAACCAATACCTTCAATTTTATTGGTGCATTACATTATTTGGTATCAAAGCCTGCTTGTCCTACATCACCCAATTGGAAAGAATGCCTTGTTGAGGTGGACCTGTATAACCTTGGTCTCAAAATGCTTATAGTTACCCTTGATGAACACGTTCTCAGTCATTAGCAGGTTTACTGTATTTTTTTTATCAATAACAGAATTAATTTTATTCATTAAGCAGCATTGGAATGTACACAGAAGAAAAAGGAGAGAGAAACTCTCTTATCTCTCCTGAAAAAATAAAGAGATTACAAACAAACCCAAAATAAATGATTTCTTCCCACCCTGTCTTGCCAAAAAGTCAGCAAAGGAATTAGCCATCTCTTTTCACCCATCGAAAAGTAAGCTCCATTCCTTGTAGCAGCCCTCAAATTCTTCTCCTCTCATGAATATATTCCCACAATCCGTCATCCCCTTGCTTTTGCAGCCAACTAATCATCACCAACTCCAAGTCTCTCTCAATTGAAAGTTTGCTTAAATTCAGGTTGTTTGCTTTCTGAGTTCCTTCCATGACAGCTAGGGTTTCAGCTCTTAGAGCATCACCCACCCCTATTGGACCACAAAGTAGAGCAATAATTTTTCCTTCCTCATTTTTGAACACTTCTTCAATACCCGAAGGTCCCGGGTTGCCTTCACTGCTACCATCAAAATTCAGTTTTATGAACCCACTTGAAGGTGGGGACCAGAAATGTCCATAATTCACCTTAGCAGGATCAGAATCATCGACTTCCTTCCATTTGCTCATCAACTCACCTGGTAGAATGCCCTCAAACCGCTTCAATGTCTTCACCCAATGAACTACTTTGATGGATATGGCTTTTTTTATCACTTCCCTACTCCTTTCTTTTTCCACAAATATTCTCTAATTCCTTTCTTCCCAGAGAGTCCAGCAGACTGCCACCCTTGTACATCTCCAAAGAATTCTACCCTTTCTACGATCATCTAACAAAGGTAGAGGAGAAAAGGCTTTGAACAGAAGGCGGGAGTTCCATCTGCACCCAAACAAAGAGAGAAACCAGTCCCAAATTGAACAAGCAAAAGGGCAAGATATTAATAAATGATAGCAGGACTCACCATCAGCCTTGCAGAGAGGGCACGGATATGGAGAAAGACACCAGCCAGGTCTTTTTCTTTGCAGCATGTCAATTGTGTTAATTCTTTCTAGATATACTTCCCGACAAAAACCACCAATCCTAGGCGGAATAGTAGTAGTCCAGACCTCTTTAACAGGAAAAGGCACTTCCAGACTCTCACTCGGCTGAATCAAATTCCAAAGAAGGAAGCACAGATAGAGGAACCAGAGGGAGAGGAGGTCCAGATTCGGCTATCACTTTTTGAATGGTCCAGAACTACTTTTTCAAGAATTTGAAGCAAATTTGATACACTACAAATTTCAGTCCCTCAAAGCCCTCTTCTAAAACCAAAATCCCCGCCAAATCCAAAAGAACTTCCTGATTTTTCTTATTCCAAGAAATCTTGAACTTACCGATTTTCTCAGTCATTGACCTTGAAAAATGCACTTGTATAATAGAACTCTTTCTCTCCACAATAGTTGTTGCAACCAGGCACCTGGTTGAATCTTATAGATGTTTTTAACTACAGACCTAGTTGTGTGATTGGATAAAATCTGTGATGTTTTTTCCCTTGCGTCATAGATTTGTTTCTGGTTCATATGGTAAATGCAATGTGCTTGGATGTAATGTATTTTTTTTTTCTACTGAAAATTGACAGGAATGCTAGATCGGTGGATGTACAGGCTTCTCGAGTCATTTACCAAGTCATCAAGTAGGAGCATACTTCGGTGACTTTCTGGAGAGAGTAATTCTTATTGACCATTCCCAGGGAATATTCAGTTCATCAGAGCAGTATTCTATAGTTCTGCATTTTGAGTGAGAGCCTGAATCTAGGGCACCAAAGCGACATACCCCCAATTCATAAACTTATGTAATTTTATGCCTAACCTGTGGTTTCCTGTCATTTAATTGGCGACTGTTCTGATTAGTAACAATTGCTTTTCTGTTTCCATGTGTTCCATGTGTCAAATTACATAGTTCTACTGTAATATAAGTTCAAACTTTTGTTGCAATTTGCAAATAGTATGCAGTTCTGTGAGAGTAAATCGAAATTCTCTCCCAAAGCGAGCACGTATATGCATATATGGGTGGGATGTGAAGGGTTGACAAAAAAAATGGGTTTCGTAAGGGGGTGAAGCCAAACGAGGCCCGAATTGGTTTTTGCCCTGTTCCCAATTCACTGGAAGGAAAAATTAAAACAAGAATATATTCGAGGATTGCTCATAGGATTCTTAGGTGCCCTTTGGGGATTACATCTTGAATATTGAATTATGCTTTAGTTATGTTTTAGTTCTATTATTTTATTTCTTTTTTAACCCCTGAAAATTTACTTGAGGTGGAGGGGTGGTTGGTTACCTTTAATTTTATAGTTAATCTAAAAATAAGTGGAAATATATAGGGGAGGATGTAGCCTGCAATAAACAAATAGCACTCCCTCATGTCAACCAGCAACCCATTTGCAAAATTAGCCCACTCTAATCATAGGAAGAAATAAAAGATCATCAAAAACAACATCTTGTACATGAATCGGGAATTTTAGACAATCAAAAAATAAAATCTATTACCCCTGTCATCACAACCTGTCTTCGCATGACTATCAACAACTGTGTTAACCAAGAACAAGTGTGTGAAGGAGGGGAAGCCTTGGAATTCAATATGTTGATCAGCAACAAGGAATCATTCTCAATCAAGGTTCAAAATATTGATATATTTTTGTGTATTGGTAGAAGTGCATCGGTACTTAGATACATGCGGGAACATATTTTGATTTGTTTCGTTTTTTTTTTTTTTAATTTTGGTTTTTGTCTTTTTGGGGAGTTAAATACAGGTATTTTTTTATTAAAAAAGAGTGGGGTCCTGAAACACATGAAAATAGATGTATTGGGTCCATACAAGGTGTATTGTATTTAAATTTTAGACCTACAACGGTAAGATGAGTTTTGCCCCGAATCTGAACATAGTAGTAAAGAACATCAACAATGACTCGTCTCCACATATGTGTTAGTGGCAACCCATAAAAGTGAGAGAAAGCTGTGCATCCTGTGACATAAGCACCATTGGATCCCTAAAGATGCCACCACCTGCAGTGATGCCGGGGTGTATTAACAATGGAAAGCATCAAACCAATGCTTATATTTGCTAATTAATTAGAATAGTTCAATGTCCAACTAAAATAAGGATCAAAAGGATCAAATCAATTGTTCAATGGAGGGGTGTATTATGGATTTTTGTTTGATAGTCAAATGCCATTTAGATTAAGGAAAATTTTATAAAACAAATAACAATTGTAAAGCCATCTATGTAGTATGGAGAAGAGAAGAGTGCTAGGAAGTCAAAAAAAAAAAAAAAAGAAAACATGTCTAAAAATGAGCGTGGCAAAATGTGAATATTAAGACGAATGAGTGAAAAAATTAAAAAGGATAGGATTGGGAATGAAATTATCCTAATAACATAGAAATAGCTCCAATAGATGATAAAATGGGATAGATTAAACTAAGATGATTCGATTACATGCATAAAAAACCACCAACATTTCAAGGAAGGGGCTAGAAGAACTAGGGGTAGACCAAAAAAAGATATAAATAGTAAGAAACGATTTAGACATTAATAATTTAACAACGGATATGACTTTAAATAAAATGGATCAGTCAAATAAAAATCATGTAGCAGACCGTTGGGATATGGCATGGACAATGATGATGATAACACAACGATGACAACAACTTGGGCTGATGAGAAAGTGAACTCTTGTAAAACTATTACATGTCCACAAGCAGAGTACTCAAACGTGAACTCCCATAACATGAGTCCAAATTAAAAATGATCAATTCAATAATGAATTTCTAAAGAAATGTTTTTGGCCTCTAATGATATCGAATTTTCTACCAAAAAAATATCAATTAAAATGTAGATGGGAGATGAAAGTTTTTTCTTAAAGCTAAACTTCTACAATGCCCAAATAAAATGTGAAAATACCATTGTAGTATCATTATCATGCTCACAACTCTCTTTGATTAAAAGTTAAAGGGTGGGGCAATTGACAAGTGTAGGATGCCAATGCCATGTATTGGCCTGGAACCTGGATAAAAGTTGGATTGGATTGGATTGTGGCTACTGGAGGCCCAAATCCAAGCCATTTCTAACTTCTAAGCTAAGGTTAAGTCCATATTTTCATCCCAAGTTAGACTTTATTTATTATAGTCGATTTGCAATAATGAATTTAATTATATTTGTAATTATTATTTTTTTTTTCATTTATTTTTAACCGTGTATCACACGGGTTTTTCTGTGCCATATTACAAAAAGAAACAAGAGTAAAATACACAAGCCCAATATACAACCAGAAAAAGGTATGAAGCCCATATCCCAACAAACCAAGACCCAGTTCAACTAGAAACCACCCACACAGAAACTGAAATCCACCACCACATAAAGGTCTGGTTCGCATCTTCATAAATGATTTATGATACAGGGTAAGTATTTGAAAAAGAGAACTTATGAGTGTTTTTTTATTCCTCTTTTTTGGTAAAAAATATTCATTAAAATCAAGCAGAGAACAAGAAGAAGCAAGCCAAACAGAAGACAACAAACTAACAACAGAGCTACTAAAAACTAAAACTAAACTAAGAACAGAAAAGATAAATCCAACTTTAGAGCATCTGAAAGAAAAAGAGGGACAGCAAAACTGGACTTGAAGAGAAACCCAACTTAACAGCAGTATGAGCTGCAGCATTAGCCATCCTCGGGCAGAACTGAAAACTGAACTTTTTCCTCTGAGCAACTTCTTTGAAGTCCCATCACATATTAGCAATGACAAATCGAGTCCGGATCTGCTCCTCCCAGAGCGCTATTCACTTCAAACGTTATCTTTTTACTCTGGAGACAGTGAACTTATATACAGACTGAAGTTGGCAGTGAGAAATGGGATCAGGGATTTGTGTTGTCAAAGACTCAAAGAAATCATAGAATACTTCAAGCATCTAATGGGTGAAAGGTCTCTATTTCCTTTTTCTAGTTTCCTTGGTATTACTTGCTTGGGCTGTTGAACGATGGGTCTCTCTGTTATCAAACCGTTCAGGTTTGTTCTTTTGTGAATTCATTTACTGACAGGTCCGCTGGTTGGAATTCCATATCGTCTCCCAACTTGGGAGATCCTAGCCTGAATTTCTAGCATCATGGGCCTCACATTCTCAACGAGTCTCTTTCCATAAGAGGCGTATATCCAAGGAAAATATTATTTGGGTTGGAGGAGATGAGCGTGTCAGCGTTTCTGTACTCTGGTCTTATTGTCTCAATAAGATAGACAGACCCAGAAGACGAGACCTCGGGATGGACAACAGAAACAATCCCAACCCATCGCCACCATGAGAGACCCATCGTCCTCTTTAGGTACTGAAACATAAAGAATGCTCCTGGTTGTCAAGAAAACAAGTGATCGAATTCGTCTTCTGTTCAGCAACCACGAACTGGGCCCGTAAAAGAGTCCCAGTGTGAGCTACTGAGCTCACAGTTGCTCCTTCGAGCCTTGCATAATTGCAATAGAATAGTTGGGACTGGTCTGGAAGCCACCAAAGCCCAGCCGATCAAGGTAACTCTGGTTCTTATTAAATGATACTCCCACCCTGGAAAAAACATTCTTATTCAAAATTTTCTTGTCGAGTTTGCCATTTGTTTGATGAAATGTTTTTTTTTTTTTTTCTGCAAACAAGGTTCAAAGTTTCACAATGGCTGATACGTATTATATCTTCAAGGGTTGGCATGGAAAATGCTACAAAATCATTTGTATCCTGTTTTTTCGTATTGTGCTCATATCAGGGTATATTGGACTTGTATTAGGGAGGTGTATTGGGACCGTATCATAACCATAACAGCGTGCATCGGCCAATACAGATCTGTATGCAAAAAACAAATTAAATTTTTTTGAGAAAAAAAAAGGTTTTAACTCTCTCCAAAAGCTTTTTTCTCTCCCAAAATCATCAAATCATCCCTACACATTTTTGGATTGTAAAATCTTTAAAAAACACCAAAAACAACCTCCAAAACTCAAGATTTTGGAGGTTTTTTTCAACCCTTTACAAAAATTGCAAAAATAAATACTTTTCTAAATTTATTTGATAGTACCTTACAATATTTTGGGTTTTTTTAATGCTTGGAAATGCTTATATATATATATATATACATATGTTGAAAATCCTATATTTTTTGTGCTTTAAATAGATGTATTTAATTTTTTAAGAAAGTTTAGAGAAAAAAAATAAAAATTTATATTTTTGGTGTAATTTTCCCATGAAGATAATTATGTCATAGATCTATGAGTGATCTACCATATCCATAAATCTATTGAAAATTTCAAAACACTCATTTTTTTTTGTAATTTTTGAATAAAAATATATATTTTTTCAATTTTAATATGAAAATATTTATTTTTTGTAAAATTAAAAATATTTATCTTTTTCAACTTTTTTAAATTTTAAAATATTTTTTCCTTTTCATAGATATATTGAAATTTATTGTAAAATATATACTTTTTGTTTTTTAGTAATATTTATTTATTTTTTCTAATTTTTGGTGTGATCTAACCATAATATTTACCATGTTGTAAATCTATAAATGATCTACCACATCTATAAAATTATTTTTCTATTACATTTTATTTTTTAATTTTTGTAATAAAAATAAAATAATTGCTTGAATAAGAAATAAATAATTGTTTAAACAATTATAAAAAATATTTCATTAAATAATTATTAAACTTATATTTTTATAACTATAACATTATTAGAGAATATCCTTCTGTTTTTATATATTGATTATAACATATATTTTTTATAAAAATCATTTTAGTACATGATTTTTATGTATATATAACTCATTTAAACCCTATATTTAATATTATTGATGTATACTTATGATTTATTGAAGTATTTATAGTGTTTTAGTTCATTTTCTTACCTATATATTTGTGTTTCCGATAAGGTTAGTGTTTATGGCGTTTATGATACTTTTGGCTGAA